ACAAAATTAAAAAAATTTTAAGCACATATTTCATCATCTAATCTAAAAAATATAAATATTTTAATATGCATAAATATTAATAAAAAAATATAAAAAATTCAAAAAAAAAAATTTTTACCTGAACCGGACCGGTCAACGGTCCGATCAACACGCGATTCGGTTCGACGATTCGGTCCGACAGTTCAGGTGCGGTTCGACTCGGTCTAAGCGCGGTCTTGTTGGTTCAGCAGTTTGCTACTGGTTTGGTTCGATCGGTCAGAGGCTGATGAAGGAAGCGAATCGTGAGTCGGGTGCACTGACTTCGGGTTTGGTTGCGGGTTGACGCACGGATCTTGGGTTCTTAAAATGGCATCATTTTGGGCGTTTATTGAAATGACGTCGCTTTGGCTATTAACAGCTTATATAAAAGTTAAGAAATTTTTTTTTCACTCATTTCCTTCGTTCTTTAGAAAAAAAAAAAAAAGCTTTTTATTTCTCTCCTTTTTTTGTTTCAGTCGACCTTGGGCCGGTGGTCGTCCATGGTGACTGTCTTTGTAGTCCTTGTCGGCGACAAGTTTCGATCACCGTCGTCGATGTCAAAAATTTTTTTAAAATACCCACAAACTCCTTTCGACCTCCTGAACACAAATCCGACCTCTTTTTCATCAAAAAGAGTTTTCATTTCCCTAGATCTGCTTTCAAAGTTTCGGTGAGACTATTTTTTATTTGTATTTGACTCTTTCTTTTTTTTTTTTGAAAACTGATTCTTTTTTTTTCTTCTTCATGCAAAAAGCTCGGTGTTGGGTTCCTCCCCTACGGGGAGGACTGTTTGATTTTTTTTTGTTTTTTTTTATTTTTGGCAGAATCTTTCCCTCCTTCTCTGTCTCTTTTGTTGGTTTGGCTATGAGCTCTATTTATAGAGCTCCGATCGTGTGTGTGCTTGAGAGGAGGGTATGGGGCTCGGTATGAGGTGTAAGCACGAGCCTCATGCTTCTTTTATTTTTTTTAGCAATATCTGGCAGTGGTAGGGTGAGGTGATTAGAGGGGTGGGGGTACGACATGGTGAGGGATGGGTGTAGGGCATGGTGGCATGGTGCCGGGGAAGGCACCACTGCCATCCTCGATTTTTTTTTGTTCTATTTGTTTTGTATTTTGTATTATTTTTAGTATTTTTTGTATTTCGTATTTTATATTTTTTTATATTTCATATTTTTTTTGAACAAATTGATGTCCATAGGTATTTTTTTCTTTCTCTTTTTTTTTTCGAAAACTAACTGATACCCTTCTTTTTTGTTGCAGGTGACTTGGCGTTGGATTCCTCCCTGCGGGGAGGATTGTGTTTTATTTTTTTTTATTTTTTTTTTGTATTTTTGTAGATCTATTTGGATATTTTGGGGGTGTTTGGTTTTTTTTTCGTCTGAGAGGTTGTTGGTAGGAGTACGTGTTTTTTTTTTGTGTTTTGATGAGGGGATCTCTGAAAGTTCCAGCCAGATCTAAAAAGAGGGAGATTAAATGTTTTTATATGGTTGAAAATGGTGGTAACGTGTGCTGATGGAGTGAAAGAACTGGACGAAGGGGTGGTATGATGGCTAGGGTAGTGGCAGGGCGTAAGTGGCCAACGGTGTCATGCATGGCACCCGCTGGCACCAGCCCTTTCCATTTTATTTTTTCTGTTTGGATTTTTTGTTTGTCTTTCTTTCTTTCTTTTTTTTTAATTAATTAAAATTTTTAATTATAAAAAATATAGTTCCAGACAAAATTTGATGTCTACAATATATATAGACAAAATAATAAGCGATGTATATGGATAGAAAGATACGGTGTCATGCCCCAAGTACTCAAGTGCTTTCCCTTCCCAATGATTCCTTATATCATGTGAATTTTGCCCATGTCACATGCACCTAATATTAAATATGCATTTTATGAATATATACTTTTTATTTTATACTTGTTTTTTACTGTTGAATCACAATTAAATCCAATATCGAGATTAAATTATTTTTTTCCTCATCCTAACCATTTTTTCTCCTTTTGTCTCAATATTTTAGTTTTCTCCCATTATTGATTTGCATCTCTTTTTGACTTTCAACAACTCCATTTCTCATAGACTGATTATTTTTATTATATGTTCATAGATTTTAATCTTAGTCAATATAATGTAGCTAACTGATTTTCCAGATACATATTTTATAATATGTCTATAGATTGTAATCTCAGTCAATATCCATGTGGCTAATTGCTTTTTCATATACATAATTTGTAAGTGAACAAGTTCCATCACCCAACCAAATCTTTCAATCCTCTCCAACAATCGTAATCCAAATTTTGTTATCATTGTAAGTATTCACCAAGTTAGTTCAAAGAATCTTGAATATTGAATTTTCTGGGTTTAAACTTTAGATTGATTTAGAATTCAAAAATATTTCAACTTTGTATTATTGTAAATTTTGAATAATTATTCAATTTGAATTAGGGTGTTATTGTTAGGATTTAATTTTGAATGATTGATATAATCATTTGCTTTTAGAGACTGTTTGGTTTGCAAATATTTAGATTTTAAGAAGAAAAATGATTTTGAAGGAAATTAATATTAAAAGGGAATGAGTGATTTTTAGGGTTTGTTGACCTAAAGAAATATAAAATTTTTGTACTTGATTAGAAGAATATAATATTACTTAATAAAGTATTTTATAATATTATTTTTGACAACATGTAACATACATGAAAATATAAAAATAATTTCTTTATTTTTATAAGATTTTTAATTATAAATTATTTATATATTCAATTAAATATTTCAAATATTTTAAATTTATTTATTTAAAAAATAAAACAATAATGGTTTCCTTTTAATAAACACCTTCTCATATACTATAAAATTTATAAAAAATATAAAGACAAACTTACTATACATTTTTAATAAAACCATATAGTAGAACTTATAGTTGTTAAAAATTATTAAAAAAAATGATAAAAGAATTTTATATTATGAAATATAAGTTCACTTTATTTTTTGCAACTAAGAAAATGAAAAAAAGGTGTGGATCATGCAACAAGATGGGTTCTTGAATGGAGAATATCAAATCATTTTTAGTTTTATGTTTTCAAAACGGGTGAAATCCATTAGCATTGATGTCAGAGGTTGGCCATAAGTGTTAAGAAAGGACTATTCTTATAGATGTGGTTTTGAAGCAAGAAAATGTATTAAATATTCAAAAATATAATTTTATTACAATAAGAAACCATCTTCTCCCAAAAAATATTATTCTTTTTCTTTGTTTAAAGCAAATAAATTTTTTAATCTTAAAATCTTTTCGTAATATATTTTCAACAAAGGCGGTATTTTTAATTTTAAAATCATTGCCTTTTGTTGAAAATAAAAAAGTTTAAAATATAAATTTTTTCTTAATATATTTTAAATAAAAATCATGTTTTTAAGATTAAAAACATGGTTTTTTTATATTTTCAAAAAATATTGCTTTTGTTGAAACTATAAAATATAAATTTTTTCATAATATATTTTCAACAAATATTATGTTTTTAATCTAAAAATGTAGTCTTTGATGAAATTATTCTGAAAAATAAATTTTTGTCACAATATATTTTTTAAAAATAATAAATATCTCTTTTTTAATCTAAAAAACTTGATCTCTATTTAAAATTTATTTCATAATATCTTATAAAAATTACTATATTTTTAAGATAAATAATGTCGTTTATTATCTAAAAATGTAATTAAATGAGAGTAAATGAAAAAAAATATATTTTTCCTTTGAAATCTAATAAAACTTAAGAAGATGAGAGTTTTTTATTTTCCTTACTTTCTCCCTTTTTAACACTATTGGGAATATGAGATTCTTGATATGAGAGAAAATTTTTCAACCAAGCCAAGGAATTAGCTAACGAAAAATTATATTCCGGGAAGGAAAATTAAATTTAGTAAACCAAACTCCCCTTTAATATAAAGTTAAATTTCAAGTAACAAATTTTATATTTTGGATAAATAAAAAAAAAAACTTATCCAAATCATAAAATTGTCTTACTTGAAATTTAATTATTTTAAGAATTTTTATTTCATACATTGTTAGTGTATAATATTATTAATGATTTGTATAAACAGAACACCTCATTATTGAATAAAATTAAAATTTAAAGATTTTAAAAATTAAATAACACAAAATATAAAATTAAGAGATATTTTTAAAGACTCAAATATTTTAAATTTTTTAATAAATGATGTGATAATTTATGATGTACTAATAATTATAAAATTTATATACTAATAATTTATCAAATATAAATATTTATTTTAATAAGATTATATGTATAACTTGTAACAAAATTTTTCAACATATATGATATGATAAGTAAATAATGATGACATCATTAAAAAACAAACTAAAGAATAAATCAAATAAAAAATTAAATTAAATTCTCATACGTTTATATCGAATCCAAAATTGAAGAATTTTAAGATTAAAAAAAATCACTTGCAAGTTTGAAATCGAAATTTTTTATTTCGAAAGACAAGATAAGACCTCATCAATATTTAGATTGAAGTTACGTTATTACGTATTTATGAACCCAAACCCAGAACCACGAGTTTCTACAACCAGTCGCTTTCTGTTTTTTTTTTTTTTTTTCAATCAAATAATGGCTTATCGAGGCATAGATATTTATCCCATTGAGTATTTATTTATGTCCTTGCATTTCCATACTGCGTTGGACCCACTGCGGATTTCACATTAAATGGTGGAGAAGCAAACCCTGCCAAGGCATTTGGAACCCCACTGGATAATTTTTATTCTCAATTTGGACAAATTATTGAAATTAAGCATTATTAAGTTTTTTTTATGATAATTAATTATTAATTGCATAAAAAATGAAATGAATTAAGTAGAATAGTCAATTTAGACTGAAAGCTATATTCGTAATTTTCATTAAAAATATGCATAAAAATGTAATTATAGTACAAGAAAAAACAGAAAAGAAAAGTACTCAAATCATTTTAGTCAATCTTGTGTTAATTGGATGCCTATATAGGGAGACTCAGAGTCACCCAAAAATGGAAACCATACTGATCTTATCTAATCTGGTTCAGGATAAAAAATTAAAGAAAAAGCTTGTTGGTGATCAATGGAACAAGTAGTTAAACATCCGCCACCGCCAGCGGCAGCACCTAGCGCTTCCTCACCCTTGGCTAATCCTGTTTCGGTTATTGGACCTCAGTACTGTTGTCCTCAACCAGTTGACCTGGTAATGGTCGGAAAGGTTTGGACCTTAACGGAGGGCAACTTCACCGTCACGGACATCAATGGGAATATCATGTTCAAAATCAAAGCGAAATCTTTTAGCATGCACGACTGCCGACTCTTACTTGATGCTACTGGAAATCCCATTTGCACTCTTCGACCCAAGGTGATTTTGTTGTTGCGTTTTTTTTTTTTTTTTTTCTCAAAAGTCTGCCTATTTATTTACAAATAAAGAAATAAAACAATGCTTAAGTTGCCCCTGTAATGATAATTTCAACTATCTGCCTTGATTTATTTACAGATAATGACTGCTCATGATAGATGGCAAGTTTTCAGGGGAGAAAGCACTGAAGAAAAAGATCTCATAATTACTGTGAAGCGATCTTCAATGATCCAAGTTAAGTCCAAATTGCATGTGTTCTTGGGAAACAACCCAAAGGAGGATGTTTGTGATTTCAGGGTGGAAGGAACCTGGTCGGAAAGATCCTGCGTCATTTATTCTGGAGAGTCTAACACAATTGTTGCTCAAGTAAGACATTGATCCACCTAACTTTATTTAATTTCTTAATTTCCTCAAATTCCTCAGTACAACTCTGTATTTATATATACTATAACCGTAATTATATTTCATAGATCATATATTAGTAATAGATATGCATACATATAGCATTAATTACCAGAAATTTAGGAGAAATTAAGTATTCAATGGATCTGTCACCCTCTACATATATATAATATTGTGTGTGTGTTAGCAGATGCACAAGAAGGTCAGTGTTGAAAGCGTGTTGCTTGGAAAGGACAAGTTTATGGTGACAGTGTATCCCAATGTGGATTATGCGTTCATAGTGGCTCTCGTCGCTATCCTTGATGGGATTAACCAACAAATGAGATCTGCTTGATTAGTGAATATCAGAATCGGTTGCAATGCATGCATAATTTCAGCAAAATATATTTGTTTTAAAACCTATGGTTGTGTTATATGAGTTAGAATAAGGAAAATATTACTGCAAGTTTGGCTTGTTCCCCCCTCCCCCCCCTCTCTCTCTCTCTCTCACTCTCTCTTTGTTTCTTACCTTCCAGCTTTCACTGCAATAACATAGTAAGACGCAAACTGTTTGATGTTTGTATATACTTCCTCTTCTCGTCTCCCTATAACTAGGTGAAGTATATGTGAACAACCTTGCTAGCTCAGAAGTCTAGAAAATGTTTTACCATTGATCAATTATTTCAAATTTCAAACAAAAACTTGCTGTGCCATCATTTAAATTAAGAGTTAACTAATTATTGCTCAAATTTATATGGGGCATTCTTCATAAAAACAAGCATGTATAATGATATCAACCGTTAGATCACCTGCATATGGCTCACAGTTTTTGCTAGGAATCAAGAACTTGAAGCGTATTCTATTTTGAGAAAATAAATAAATTCTTGACATTTGTATATCCAAAGAATTAAAATGTTCAGTAACTGGAATTATAATCAAAGGAATAGAAGCAAAGGCTGCACTGGAATTACCATGACTGAATTTCGTGGCCATAACATTTTTTGGTTTTGTGTCCCTACAGCAACAAAATATCTCACTTTTTTCCACATCAACTCTTAGACTTAGTTTGTGTATCTGCTAATAGCCTGTTACTACTATAGCTTAAAAGCATATATAGTTACTTTTAACCTTGACTTTAGAGTATTTTCATGCTTTATAATTCTTAAATTCTGCATGTATTACTGTATTCTAAAGGAACTAAAGCCTCTGAAGAAATTCCTTTATTTTTTTCCTCTAGTAAGGTATCAAAGGGTCTCTTGAAGATCTGATTAACCGTGGTGCGTAGGCAGTCTTTTCGATCACCCGCACCAAATATTTTTCGAGATAAAATGAAGGAAATATCTTATTATTGTTTTTTTTTAGCATAACATTTGCTAAGAAATATCTTAGTGTTTGCACCAACTTTTTTTTTTTTTTTATATTACTGGTTTTCCATTATCTTGTTAATAGGCTTACGGTGCACAAAGAGGCCATAAACTTGTGTCACAAATTTTTATATTTTGTAACAGTTTATTACAACCAATTTGTAATGTGGATTAGGCTGTTATAGTTGGTGGTATGGGATTCCATTTACAGCCCAACAATGTCCATTTTTCAAACTCTTTTAATGTATATAATTAAATTATTATTTTCATTAAAAAAATTTAAGCTATCATTCAATCATTTATCTCCTATTACACAAATGAGTTTTCAAAATTTTTATTACTGAAAATGTTTTTTTTATTATATAAATAATAACCAATAGAATCAATACTAATCTCAATAATAAATAAATTGAACCAGGAAGAGCTTTTGAGCTTTATCTAGTATATATAACAAGCTCTGTGTAGCTCATCCCTTAGGGTTAGGGCATATACTCCATGTTCATTTCTATTAGTAAGTTGATTAATTTATAACAGTTTAGGTGATTTTAACAGCGATGCGAGGCATGGGTTTCACTAGTTTAAATAAACGAATCTATTTATCAGTTTGCTCAAATGAGTTACAAACCTGTGCGTTCGACACATTTTCAAAAGGAAATGAAGCGAATTCTTTTACTCGAGGATATTATCAAGTTTTCGTCTCGTCTATTTTATCTAACCTATATACTATTTTTATCTGCAGACTGCTGGTATGTTGACATCTGTCCCTCTTGTGTCAACTTTTTTTTTAACCTTTGTTTTTTAGCTTGAGTTAGTTTTTTATTTTTTTTAAGTTTTTAATATACTTTTATTTTTTTTTTATCTTATTATATACTTAATTTAAGAGAATATTACGCATTCAAACTTTTTCAAACCCATAATATCTAAAGATTAACTCTAATAATATGTTGATTAATTCAAAAAATAATTGTCTTGATATTTTTTTTTAATTTAATGCTATGTTGATAAAAATTAGAAATTGAAAGATTTGTTTTTAAAACGTTAATTAACCAAAAATGTTGTTCCAAAGAGAATTCAGATCAGGGGAAGTTCGATGATTAGCCTAAAAATAGCAATCGTTTTGCATTCTTTTTTTTTTCTAGATTTTCCGATGTGTTTTTTTTTTTATTCCTCAACAGCGATTGAGAATGCACATTTATTATGCGCATTGATTTTGTAATTTTTGAGTGTTTAATGTAAAAATTCCTTTACAATTACCAAAAATCTCTCATTCCCTCAATTCAACCTTGTGTCTGTATTTTTTCATAAAAAATTGAACAAACCCCCTTTCTCCCATCGAACAAATCCGAAATAAATCTTGTTTTGGGTAACCCAATATAAAAAAAAAAAAATTCATTTTAGCAACCGATTGATTTATTATATTCCCTAAGTTTTCATTCATTCTTTTTAAATATTATTTTTCCGTTCAATTTGTACCGAAATAGGATTTCGACAAGCTAAAGAAAAAAGATCGTCTAAGGCAAAGTCGATGATTAGACTGATTTAGGACATGCGATCTTCTAATATTATCTTTTGATTTCGACAATCATCTAGATTTTTTTATAGATTTGTATGTTTTCAGAATTCTTCATGCTACCGTATTATCAAAATGAGTTATAAGATTATGTTACAATATCATCTATGTTTGTAGGTCTGTATATTTTCAAAATTCTTTATACCATACCACCTTCAAAAAAAAAAAAAATTCTTTATACCATAATGTTGGTTTTCTTTTTGATTGGTTATTATTCTTTGCAAAATTCTTTATATTATGATGTTGCTTGTGTTTCTTTCAAATTATTTGTACGTGAAGTTCCTACTATTTAAATTAAAAATTTTACCTTTTTCAAATTGAAAAATATATAAAAAAAAAAATGGATAAAAAGGAAACAAGATAGGAGAAGAAGGGAAGAGGCGAAAAAAAAAAAACAAAAGCGAAAATAAAGAACACATTAAAAAAATTTTACGCTCAAATTTTATTATTTTAAGAAAAGTTTCCTCTTAAAATAAAAGAAAATGAAAGGGGTAATAAAAAGTAACAAATAAAGGAAATTAAGTAATGAAAAATTAGAAATATATTTTGCACATAAAGGACTTTTTCTTCAGGAAAAATAATAAATAAAGATGAAAAAGGGAAAAATAGGAAAAAAAACAAAAAGAATTAGATATTTTGATTGAAAATTTTATTTGTTCTCCACATAAAAGTTTTTTTTTTTCTTTACGCAGCCTTCATCATATTTTATCATGTTAATAAAAAAATAAAAAATAAAGGAAAGAAGGAAATGAAAAAGCGTGGTGAACAAAGAAAAACTGTATCGTGCTTGAACTTTAAAACTGTCTTAGGTATATTGCTTAAGAAAAAAATTATATAAAATAATTATTTTACATTAAAATATATTACTTACATTAAAATTATATCATATAATCATGTTATTGAAAAAGATTAACAATTTATTATACATTATATAATAAATTACAACTGAGTTTAATCAAACATAAATACCTCTCGTGTTCATTTACTCCATCAACTTGTTCATTTGGTGTAATTAAAATCCACATCAAGTCATAGCATATAAAAATCTTACATGAAAGAAAATATATAAAAATAAAAGTTCATACAAGAACTTAAATCATGAACATTTGTTTATCAAGGAATACATATATTAGTATTAGAATAGCGGTTCAAAGGGAAGAGAAAATTGGAACACCGGGCAAGGTAGCCCCAGCATCAACTATGAACACGTTACCTGAAACATATTCAGAAGAATCATGGATTAAGTATCGAACAAGTGAGGTTAATGCAGGATCTGATGTACCGAATGTTCTTAACGGGACAGTTCTCGCGGCCACATTTGTTAGCCAGTCTTTCTTCATAAGATCCTGTGTGATCTCAGATTTGAAAAGCCCAGGTGATATCGAGTTCACTCGGATTTTATGCATCCCCAATTCAATAGCCATGGTCTGCACAACAGTTTATTGTCATTTTCTCATTATAGAAAATTTCATCATTATATAAAAAGGTTGGAGCACAACAACATCAAAATTGATAACAAAATGACTATTAAAATTAGACCAAAACCAGTCAGAGAACATCTTGATGGGAATCTAGGTTACCAAAATGAACCAGGGGAATCAATGAGAACATTAGAAAGTATCCACCTTCTACAACAGTTATTTTGCCGATTTGCATAAAACATGAATGATGCAATTAGGATCCAAATTCAGCGCAGAAGCTAGTTTGACAGAAGAATTTTCTAGTCGTTAACAATTGCAGGGACAAAAAGTGGATAAAATTTATTAAAATATAATTAACCAACTCGAAATGTGATAGGAGAGAAAAATAAAATTGAAAATAATCACCATTTTTACTTTTTTTTCCCGAAATATTTGATAAAATAAATAAATAAATGATTCACTTCATAAAAAAACAATTCAATCATCTACAGGGGGCGATTTCCTACCCATTGCCCATATTAGTTACCTGAACTAAGATCTAGGAGGCAGGAGAATCAGACATCCTCCAAACTACTCAATAGTTCATTAAATAACCATGAAGCAAGCAGCCAGATTATCCTTATATATGAAAGACAATGATCATTGAGCCCCAATAAAAAGATCCATGTCTAACAGCCAGCCCATCAAGCTTATATTTCTTATTAACTGCCAAACCAGTATTTTCCATCCATGCATTAAGTGTGAACGGCATCACCAACATGAATTATTCTGGTCAGGCACCAACTTTTCTTTCTAGGTTCTATTACTCCATAGGGGTTCCATTTTATTTGTCACTTAAATCTTACCAAATAAGTATATCACTCCTGGGCAAAGCTATATAGGATTTCACAAGCCACCTTGATCCAATCAATTCATGCCATGGCCAATGCAGTGTCCCAGGAACTTCACCAAAAAGGTTGGCTTAACCAAACACGCACATGTTCAAATACCCACACTGTTCAACCCAATTCATACAGTCTGACAGTAACTGTTACCTTCATAATTTTATGCAATTAAGACAAATTACATGTAGTGTTCTTCCTACATTATAACTTAATGCAAGACTTTTGATGTGGTGGACACATTTAAGACACCGTAGAATAAATTTTTGGTTATCAATTATACCATAACATGTATAGAGCAGAAAATTGGCATAATCTGATCTAGCTGGCTCTATGAGGTGGGAACAGATATTATTTGTTGTTGAGATTATCAAAATATGTGTAGTTTTGAATATGTGCCGTGCAAACTTCCCAATGATATAAATGTCATGTTTTAATTTGACTTTAGTTGAAATTACTCAAGCTAAAAGAATAAATATCTTAATGCAAGGTAGTTAAAGATTTCAAGGTTCTTGTGTTTCTTAGATGATCTAGTTGTTGGTGTGCTTATAAAATAATACACGCAAATTCTTACATACATTTTAACATTACATTTAATTAATGCTTTTGCTTTGTGCTTTCCTCAACAGAAAGTGAAAAGAAAAAAAATAAAAAATGAACTAAAAACAGGGACAAATAGGGGAAAAAAAAAACAAAAGCACCAATCAAACGAAACCTAAATAAATTCAAATAAAAATGATGCTAGTACTCGAACTTTGTAACTTAAACAAATCAAAACTTGCCCATATTATAGAAACATGGTCTAAACTCAGCTTGGGAACCATTTAAAGTTGAGTTCTGTCATAAAGAAGTCAAGCACAAATCAAACTCACCATACCGAACATTAGACCTTTCCAATCTGCAACTCTCTACAATTTTCTTGTTTTTGCGCAAGACATTAGAATTCCCTCCACTTTAAAAATAAATATATGTTAATATATAGTGAAACTAGATGCTACAATCATGCATCACCAGCTTATCACCCACTTTTCTTTTTTTCTTTTTTTTTTTTGTTTACATTTTTACCATTTTGACCCTTTTTTGCTCTCATTCCCTTTATCCTTGTTTAAAGATTATCAAGGGGAGTTTAGGAAGAGTTGAGACTTTCAAGAACAATCACATGTGAGGTCTTGCACTCGTTTTAGGCAAGAGAAAAATAGAGAGTTTTGAAGAGAATTGAAGAAAAAAAACTTAGTCAAGCGAGTAGACAAAGTAAAAGTAGATTGCTAGCACTTAAAGACAACTGATGTGTAGTGCTCTTCCTACATTATAACTTTATGCAAGACTTTAGACGTAACAGACACATTTAAGTCACCAAAGAAATATTTTGGTTATTGTTTGTCATAACATGTATTTGGTCCTAATAGAACAGACAAGTGGTATAATCTGATCCATCTAGTTGACTCTATGGAGGGGAGGGGGAGGAGAACAGATATTATTTGTTGTTAAGATTATCATACCATGTGTACTTTTGAATATGTGCCATGCAAACTTCCCAATGATATAAATGCCATGTTTTAATTTGACTTTTGTTGAAAATAATCAAGATAAAAGAATAAATATCTTAATGCAAGGTAGTTAAAGCTTTCAAGGCTTTTGTGTTTCTTAGATGATCTAGTTGTTAGTGTGTTTATAAAACTAATACACAGTTTAAGGCTCCATTTGATTAGTACTTTTGTACTTTGCTTTTCTCAATAGAAAATGATAAGCAAAATATAATAAATGAACAAAAAAAGGACAAATAGCAAAAAGCAAAAAGGTAAAGCACCAACCAAATAAAACCTAAATAAATTAAAATAAAAATGACGGTAGTACTAGAACTTTTTAAATTAAATAAATCGTAACTTGCCCCATCTCATAGAAAAATTGTCTAAACTCAGCTTGGGAACCATTTGAAGTTTGGTTCTACCATACGGATATCAAGCACATCTCAAACTCACCATAATAAACACTACTAAACACTAGACCTTTCCAATTCACAAATCTCTCATGTTTTCTTGTTTTTGCACAAGACATTAGAATTCCTTCTATTTTAAAAATAAATATATGTTAATATATAGTGAATGTAGATGCTACAATCATGTATCACCAGCTTTTTCTAATTGGATTATTAAAGTCGCTAGTTGAAAATTCAACTATGATAGCTGTTACCCACTTTTTCATGTTTTTACACTTTTGACCCTATTTTGACCTTTTTGGCTCTCATTCCTTTTATCCTTGTTTAAAGACAATGATGGGCAGTTTAGGAAGAGCCAAAAGATGAGGGATTGTATGACACTTTCTAGAGCAATCCCATGTGAGGTCTCATGTTTGTTTTAGGCAAGAGAGAAATAGAGAGTTTTGGACAGAATTGAAGAAAAATACTTGGTCGTGCGAAACGTGTCCAGTTGTAGACAAGGTAAAGTAGCTTGCTAGCATGATAAGTCAATCAACGTGTCTACCAAGTTCTCAACAAAAAACTTACTAATCACACCATTAGCAAGCGAAACATGTTTCAACAAAGTGATATCTGGTGTCAATATATTTGATCCTATCAGGAAAAATCTTATTATTAGTTTGATGGATGACAGTGGAAATATCACAAAACACATCAATGTAATCTTATTGCAAAACTACACAAATAATCAGACAATTTTAACCACAAAGCTTCTCTCACTACTCTGCGACAATCATGTAATCCAGCTGATTAGTTAAAAACATAAAGATAGACTGTATAACAGCCTTCTAAGTAATGACTCCTCCATAGAGATTAAACAACCTTCAAGCTGATTTTGTGGACTTTAAAATGCTCATTTTAGGATCCAATGCTCACCAAATTCTACATTTCAAGATACAATCTTTTATTTCTTTTAGAATAGGGTGCAAACTTTTTAACAGAGGTAGTTAAGCAAGCTTTGGTTAAAGACTATAACTGGTTGTTTGGGTTTGAAATGGATTTCTAGTTTTGTGTTTTTGTGACAATTAGAATGTCGTTTATCTGACCAACATCCAAATGTTTAATGAGAGAACCACTTGATGTCAAATATCACTTCTTTCAAAAAATGTTTTGCATGACAATATAGTGATTACTCAAGCTTCTACTTAGAAGAATCTACGAGCATGTTGACCAAGGCCATCTCTACTTGCAAGTACAAGAATTAATTGGAGTTTGCTAGTTCCTAAGCATGGAATTGCCCTAAAGGGGCAATTATGGAGGAGGCAATAGTTTCCAGTGATTTGCTCTAATACTTGCTTTGAGGAATTTTAAGCCAATGTGAAGATTTATTGAAGTCAGTGGCTGAAAATTGAACCTCAATAAATGCAACCCATGTCTTGATGCTTTTTGACTCTTTTGCCCCGTTTAGACCCTTTTATCCTCATTCTCTTTACCCCTTGTTTAAAGCCCATTAAGTACAATTTGGGAAGAGCAAAATAAACATAATATCAAATGAGATTTTATGGTCTTGGATTTGTTTTTGGCCAAGAGAGAAGCAAAGAGTTTTACCAAGAAAGCTCTTGGATTTTAGGGTGTGGTATGATCCAAGTTTTGAAAGCCAAAGTCAAAGTAATATTCATCTTTTCTTGATTATAGTGAAAATTTCTTGTCTCGCCTATGGATTGAAGCATTAAGCAGAACAACCTAAATTATTGTGTCTTTCTTGGATTTTATTTTAGGATATTATTTCTTGGTGTATACTTTAGTTTTTGTTGAATTTTTTTGCATTATGTTGACTTGCTTCAATTACATCTACAGCATAGACATTATTAAATTGGTTTATTTCTATCACTTAATCATCTTCTTAGATCTTACATCTTCAATTTTCTTATTTTAAAAGTTTTAGATTTTGGCTATTTTATGTCATGATATTGTTACTCAATCAAATAATAGACCATGCCAAACTTGACACTTATAAAAGCTTAGATCTTCTAGTGACAGTCTTCCATCAAAAGCCGAAACCATTATAAAGTATTTCAAAGATATTAACATAAATTTTAAGCGACTAAAAACATTTTCTATACAATATTTACCTTTGTCATGGTGTTTAGGCCTGCTTTTGAAGAAGCATAAGCCACACCTCCAGGTAGTTGCCCACGGTTAAGACCAGCAATGGAAGATATATTGATTATGGATCCTCCTTGATTTGCATTACGCATGTGCATGCAAACATATTTTGACACCAGCCAAGACCCCGTTAAATTTGTTTTGAAACTTTGATTCCATTCCTCCTCAGACAAAACCAATGGATCCTTCACCTTACCTGCAAAACATAATAGTTGCAAATGGTAAACAAAATATAAGGGGTACAAGGTCCAAAACAATGTTCACAAAATTGAAAATGTTACACAAAAATCAGGTCAAGAAATGAAGCTGGAACTGATTTTTTACTTTCTTGCTTAATAATTATGACTATGTTTTGTAAGTAAACTCTGAATGCTAGTCCCAACCTTACAAGACAAGTTCACCCTGAGTAAAGGAGCGTTCTTGTTTTCATTTTTAGGGTTTGTTTTCAAAAAGGACTAAGAAGGCTTACTCAAGCACTAACGTTGAGTTAGATATGCTACTGATTAATGATAAAATTGGTTCTCCACATAGATACAAATTGATTTTGTTATGAATTGAATCATATCGCACTATATGTATCCAATATCATACGATTTTAACAACTATGGGGTTTTAAGAGAAGTAATCTTTGACATCAGTTATTTTGAATATCTTCTTACTTTTAAAATATTAGGGAAAAAATATTTCTTTGTGAGTTTAGCGAGTAATTTTTTAAAATGCTCATACTGTACCTAAATATTTCTGGATTTGAGTTGGGAAATCACTCTAAATTTGTCCCTGACTACAATGTGTTCCACATCTATCATTTATCCACAATCCACAACTGAGCAAATCTTGCACATAAACTTCTAAAATCTAATCAAAATACAGCTCTATTTTTTATTTACACTACTAATACTAGCACTTTGGCAGTTATACAGCCATTAGCTGAGTGGAGGAAAGAAATTTCATTTAATTGTTGCTTTTACTAGTCGCCCTTTGCTTATGAATGCAAGAACTAAAAGAAGTGAACCGATAAAAAAAAAAAAACAAATATTAATTTCAAATAATTAAAAATAAAAACATACATACATACATGGAGATGGAAATTAAAAAAAAAAAGTTTCAGTTTTTATAGAAATTTAACGTATAATTGTGCAAAGCTATTTAAAGTAAGGGAAAAATTAAAACCTCTAACGCCTGCGTTGTTGATCAAAGTATCGATCCTCCCAAAAGCATCCCAGGCCGTTTTGACGGAGCTATGAATGGTGGCTCCGTCAGCAGAGACGTCCAGCTCGACGGCTACAGCAAGAGGACCACTAGACTGGGGCTTGGAAGAAGGAAATATAAGAAGATTGATATCGTCGCAGAGGGACTTGAGGCGATCAACGCGGCGGGCGGAAGCCACGATTCGGCAGCCGGCTTTAGCCAAGTCAAGACAGATATCACGGCCTAAGCCGGAAGATGCCCCCGTCACCATCACCACCTTGCCACTGAGGTCAGCCCATGGCTCTAGTTGCTGCTTCTCCGCCATTGCCACAAGCAGCGGATGATCTACGAAGTCAAGATGGAATTGGAGGAAATAATAGAGTAACAAAAACAAATAGTCGCCGCCCTACTGGTGAGTCAACTCAACCAGTCAACTGTGATGGTGGACGTGGTACTTCGCCTAACTTTTTTAGGTAAACATTTTTAAATATAATTAATAATCACAATTTAAAATATATAATATTTATTCAAAATTTATATCAAATTTACATTTGTTATTATATAACTTTTATTATAATTAAATAATTATAATATTATAAATAAAAAATTATAAACTATATGTTTTTTTATCATAATTCATGGTGAAAAATCATGACATAATTAGTAAACACAGCATGGACATTTCGGTAATTTTACTGACTATCAACCACCATCCGCATACAACCTTATTTTTGGACTTTCCTACTTAAGCTGGTATTTATGATTTTCATAACTATTGTTAAGTAAAAGAATTAAAATTATTTCAACTGAGATTAAGAAAATACATATGACTTAATATATTATATAATAAAAAATATTTTAATTTTATAAAAAAGTTAACAAAATAATAATTTTTTAAGGTATAATTACCTTTTTAATTTTGTTTAAAGAAACCAATCACATCTGTCTTCATAAAAATCATCAAAGAAAAATATAGAAGAATAAGATTTCCTTTTAAAAAAAAAACTAAAAATTATTTGTCTCAATCAATGTCTAGTGTTTGGCTAATTTATATACCTATTTTCAAATTTAAAAATATATTATTTAATATTATATTTTTATAATTTGCAATGTTTTCATGACTAAGTAAAAGAAACGACCGAGGAGCAGATATTGATTTGACTGGATCGGTCAAGATAGATAAAATATATGGATATCGTAATTCCTTTCTTATTATATTGTTAATTGTGATATCTATACCTCTTTACACATAAACAATTGGTGACGTGTAATAAATAATATTTTAATTTTTTTATATAAATAATAATTAATTAATACTTTTTATGATAGGGGATGGTGCTAACGTCGTATGACTCGATAATTCTAGATACCATATAATGGTATGGTACTAAAATTATTAAAATATATATATACAAAATGATTTGATTAAATATAAAAATAGTTTATGTATCATATATTTTCTATTAATTTAATATCTAAAAAAATTAAATTATCAATTTAGTATTTAATTTTTCAATTCATCATTTATTTTTATACCTTATACTAATATTATTAGTCAATTTACTTATGTAACATAATTATCTAATAAAATATTAATACATATCAAAAAAATTCAATCAGTATCATATCATTAATTATCACATCAATATTAAAAAAATTTTAAATTAAAAAATTATAATATTTTTAAAATTTATAATAAATTAAAAATATGAAATATTTTTAGAAATTATAAAAATTAAAAAATTATGAAAGCTTAAAAAATTCATAAAAATCTCAAAATTTTAATAAAAAATCCACAAAATGAAAAGAAAAATAAAATTTTCTTAAAATTCACAAAAACTTAGAAATTTTGAAAATAAAAAAAAATCTAAAATTTTTTGAAAAAAAATTTAAAGTTCTAAGAATCTAAAATTTTTTTAAAATATCTGAAAATTTAATAAAAATTCTTAAATTTTTCAAAAAATTCTGAAATTTAAAAAATTTAAAAAATATGAAATATTATAAAAAGTTATTAAAAAAATTAAAAATTTAATAAAAATAAAAATATCAAAATTCATAGAATAAAATTAAAAAAATTAAATTGTAAGATTCAAAATAAAAAAAATTTCATAATTTTTTAAAATAATTTTACAATTTTTTAAAATTTTTTAGATTTTTCCAAAAAATTTAGACTTTTTTTATTTTCAATTTGTTTAAGTTTGCTTAATCTTTTTTGAATTTTAAGAACATTTTGTTTTTATTTGATCAACTGATTATTTTTGTTGGCCTTATTTGATCAACTGTTACAAAGATATTTATATTATGACTAAGATAATATCTCTTCCATTACTTTTTGTTTTAAAAAAATTTAAAATTATTAATGGTCTCTAAATTGCAATGAATATTTAATATAATACTTAAAATTTAAATATTTTTATGTGATAATTAAATTATAAATTTATTAATTAATATGTTATTGATTTTAATATAATTAACTTTAAATATTGACACAAATAAATAATTTTTTAAATATTATGTAGATTTTATGCCATATACTTGACATATACTTGACTCTTACAAATGAAAGTATGAAATAATAAAAAGAAAATTCCAAACTATTTTCTCGTTTGCTAATTAGCTCACTTTATGATTTTTTTTTTTTTTCACATTCATAAAGCAAACTTATCACATATAAGAATTTGAAAATCTTCATCTTCACGCATATTCTAGACCACAACAACACTACCAGAAAAAAGTTATTTTTCTTTTTCGCTAAAAGCTCTAATATCGATGGATCCTAACAAATAGGTTTTTTGTTTTTATCGACGAGATTAGTGATGGATTTCCGTCGATAAAGAACAAGAATTAGTGAACAGAAATAAATTTGTAGCTTATTCCGTTGGTAAATCAGCGTGCTAAAAGTTTAGAGATGCGCAATTTTAGCAACTAAATTAGCGACAGAATTTCGTTGCTAATGCTCCAATATATGCAGATTTAATGATAAACTTTTCGTTGCTAATAATAAAGTTTTTCTATTTAAAACTGAAATTTATTTTTTAGTTTTTAATTTTTAAATTTGGTTAAATTAGTTTTTCGTCGCTAAAACTCAAATAATTAAAAATTCATTTCCTTCCATCTCCCCCCGTCATCTCTTTTTTACTTCTCTCTCTTTCTCTCCCGACCCTACGCCACATCTCGTCGAAACCAGCCCACTCCAGCCACCTACAGCGTCGTCCGACCTGCGGAAGCTTGCAGACCAGGACATGGAACCGATCCCCACCAAAATCGGCGAAAACACCCCCAAAATAACCCCCAACTTTTCTTAACTTTCCTTCTCCATTTCTTCATTTCCCCGGCGAACCGCCGCCAACATTGTTGGTTTTCTCCTCCCTAACTCAAACCTCTAACTCTCCCCAACTCGTCACCCTTAAATCTTTCTGGGTAAAGCGCTCATTCCTTTCTTTTGTTTTTTCCTTTATTTATTTTCTGTTTTTTGTTTCAATTTCTTTTTTTTTAAAATTTGGTGAGCATGTAACAGAGAAAAAAACTGAGAAATTTCAATGTTAAAAACTGATGGTCGCCGAGACATTGTGGTTCAATTATTCGGCTAAAAAATGGGATTACTATCTTTATTGCCACAATAGTTTGTTTTTGTTTCTGATATTCTCTTTGGTGCCTATGCCGGTTGTTTTCGTTCAGATGATGAGATCTTTAAGATTCGAATAATTTTGAAATTCACAGATGTGTTTTTTTCTAAGCCTCTTTTATTTGTTTATTTGCCTAAATCATCATATTTTCCATGTCTTCTGTCCGATTAATTTCTTGATGATAAAATCACTTATAAGTAAAAGCTAAAAGTATGATTTTGCTTTAACGTTGGATGTAGGAAAAGTTTTAGCATTTGATCCCTTCAATCCAGTTTGGTTTTATGTTTGTGTATATGGTGTGGCTTGTTACTGAAAATGCCTTGTTGTTGTGTTTTTGATATATCTCATATGTGTGCTTGCTTAGTTAGACATGTGTCTAGCATGTATAACAGCGAGTAGTGTAGTGTGTAGAGAATTTGAAAACAGTCTGCTTATGTAAGTGCTGCAGGGAATTTTCCCTAGCATTAAGACCTGTGTTTGTTTGCAAACAAGGCAATATCTGCCTAGTGTTTGCTAAAATGCCTCAATGAATTTTCAGCATCTTTATGTTACAAAAATTGTTCTGTTTTGGGTTGTTTTAATGCGCAAATCTTCTATACTTAAGCTGGCACAAAAATACTTGAAAATGAAGAATGGGGGCTTTATGAAAGAGGAAGATGTTATATGGTTATGCTTTTCTAATGCCCATAATTATTTCTGTTATTAAATACAAGCCCTCTACTTAAATGAATATAATTTCTATAATATATGTATGTTCTGCTTTTTCATGAATATGTTTGATATTTTCTTGCTGCCTTTGTTATTGTTGGTAGGCACATTGGTTAAACTTGCAGTTTGGAACTTCATTTAGTAGTAGGAAGAATTTAAATTCGGAATTTCAATTCTGTCTACAAAGCAAGAACTGCTTTCCATTCTGCAGCTTCCAAAGCCAAGCAAGTTTTCACTGATTTGAAATCCGATCAAGGTAAAAAATCCTAAGCATCACGATTAGATCATCAATTACTGGTTTTGATTCTTATACAAATACATTTATTGTACCATTTATGCCTTTTGGGTTGTTAAACTGATCCATTGAGTTCGTGTAAATTGTTGTGTAACTTAAATAATTTAGAGTACTGTGTTGTCTTCTGCCAATGGTGGATGTTTAGATATGGCTTTGCTTGGTATATTGCTTGGTAAATGTGCTAGGCATAATGTCATATATGTAAGTTTGTAATTTTTTTTAATTTTTACATATATAATTAGAATTAATGAACCATTTTTTAATATATTATTATATTTTTTTATCAATGAAACATATATTTATTTTATTTTGTATCTATCTTAGCATGTTGTAATTTTCATGAAATTACTTGAACAAGAAATTTAAAAGATTAGAGAAAGATAAATAAGATGGAAAATAAAAATAATATCAAATAAAAAATTATTTATTGACAATTATTACTATTTTCGATGAAATTTTGTTATTAGCAATGGAATAAAATACTATTAAAAATGAGATTTTCGTCGCTAAAACCTAATAGTGACGGAAACAAAAAAATCTAAAAAAATTAGCGGCCATTAAAGATGGAAATTTCCTTCGCTAAATCTTTTTAGTGATGAAATAAAAATAAAATAACTTTTTATAAAATAATAAGAAAGAAAATTTATAGATAGAAAATAATCAAAACATGAATTAGCGACAGAAATTTCTTCTACTAATATTGCATATATTAGCGACGGAAAATATATTACCAACAAAAAAGTATTAATGACTCGAAATTTTCTAATGGACTTTTAGCGATAGAATGTATTATTGACAGAATTTGGATTTATTCCATTGTTAATAC